CTGTTCTAGTTCTGTTCTAGTTCTGTTCTAGTTCTGTTCTAGTTCTGTTCTAGTTCTGTTCTAGTTCTGTTCTAGTTCTAGTTCTGTTCTAGTTCTGTTCTAGTTCTAGTTCTGTTCTAGTTCTAGTTCTGTTCTAGTTCTGTTCTAGTTCTGTTCTAGTTCTGTTCTAGTTCTGTTCTAGTTCTGTTCTAGTTCTGTTCTAGTTCTGTTCTAGTTCTGTTCTAGTTCTGTTCTAGTTCTGTTCTAGTTCTGTTCTAGTTCAGTTCTAGTTCAGTTCTAGTTCAGTTCTAGTTCAGTTCTAGTTCAGTTCTAGTTCAGTTCTAGTTTCAGTTCTAGTTCAGTTCTAGTTCAGTTCTAGTTCAGTTCTAGTTCAGTTCTAGTTCAGTTCTAGTTCAGTTCTAGTTCAGTTCTAGTTCAGTTCTAGTTCAGTTCTAGTTCAGTTCTAGTTCAGTTCTAGTTCAGTTCTAGTTCAGTTCTAGTTCAGTTCTAGTTCTAGTTCTAGTTCTGTTCTAGTTCTGTTCTAGTTCTGTTCTAGTTCTGTTCTAGTTCTGTTCTAGTTCTGTTCTAGTTCTGTTCTAGTTCTGTTCTAGTTCTGTTCTAGTTCTGTTCTAGTTCTGTTCTAGTTCTGTTCTAGTTCTGTTCTAGTTCTGTTCTAGTTCTGTTCTAGTTCTGTTCTAGTTCTGTTCTAGTTCTGTTCTAGTTCTGTTCTAGTTCTGTTCTAGTTCTGTTCTAGTTCTGTCTAGTTCTGTTCTAGTTCTGTTCTAGTTCTGTTCTAGTTCTGTTCTAGTTCTGTTCTAGTTCTGTTCTAGTTCTGTTCTAGTTCTGTTCTAGTTCTGTTCTAGTTCTGTTCTAGTTCTGTTCTAGTTCTGTTCTAGTTCTGTTCTAGTTTCTTGTTTCTAGTTCTGTTCTAGTTCTGTTCTAGTTCTGTTCTAGTTTGTTCTAGTTCTGTTTCTAGTTCTGTTCTAGTTCTGTTCTAGTTCTGTTCTTGTTCTGTTCTAGTTCAGTTCTAGTTCAGTTCTAGTTCAGTTCTAGTTTCTGTTCTAGTTCTGTTTCTAGTTCTGTTCTAGTTCTGTTCTAGTTCTGTTCTAGTTCTGTTCTAGTTCTGTTCTAGTTCTGTTCTAGTTCTGTTCTAGTTCTGTTCTAGTTCTGTTCTTGTTCTGTTCTAGTTCAGTTCTAGTTCAGTTCTAGTTCAGTTCTAGTTCTGTTCTAGTTCTGTTCTAGTTCTGTTCTAGTTCTGTTCTAGTTCTGTTCTAGTTCTGTTCTAGTCTCATGTATTATTTTGTGAGATTTAATATTAATCAATAGTTATAGAGTATCATATAGTCGAGCTAGATCGACTTAACTTTCTTGTTTCGATTGTATTAACTGTGTGTGACTTGTCTATATGAATATAATCAAGCATTGACATTATAGGAGTATTTTTTGTCCGTCTGTTTGTCTTTCTGTATAAAATGTATAATTTTTTTTTTTTTAATTTTCAATTTCCTATAGTGTCTGTTATTGTTGCTGTTGTTATTTTTTGTATGATAATACAAATATAAACGATTCACTTATATGGGATGTACAAAAACAAAAGAAGATTGTAAAGCGTATAAATGTTTTTTATCATTATTAATTGTCATGCATGGCTGGCATAATGTTCAATGTACATATTGGTTGTCATTAAACAGTAACTACTGGAAATATTGGTCATAGAGGGATCAGTTAGAGACCTTTAAAATTGAACATATCGGGTTGTCTAGGTTGTGGTATTAAGTTTCTTAAGCTGTTAGATGGTTTTGGAATTCAAGCGTCTTACCTAAATGTCTCTTAAAGTTTCGATGATACTGTTATTAAAAATCTTTTCAATCGGTCTAAAAAAGGTGGAGATATGATCATAAACTTCTACAGACAGATTTAAAACAAAAACGTCAAATGTCTCTTCCTTTTTGGGTCCCTATAAACCTCCTCTTTTCAAAAACTTAACAAGTTTTCCGTTATTTAAATTTGTTACTGTTTATAATTTTTGACTGCATATATCCAAATGGACACACTAAATAATGACCCTATTGTTTGTTGACTCATCAACATTCATCCTCAGTATTAATTATTATGTTCAAACTTAATGTTTATTCATTTCCATTTTTTATTTGTCTCGTTCGTATTTTTAATTGATTTTGGCGTTATTTAGCATAAATTTATTTAGGCTTTAGTTTTTTGTTTCTATTTTAATTCTATTGTTTATATATAAATATGCAAAAATTATTTTTTTGCAATTAATTCTGTTATAAACATTTTGTAGATCGCATACATATGTATGTATGTTAAGTTCTTATTTATAGACTAAATTATTAAAATGATAACATTTAGTATTTAGATTAATCGCTTGGAATAAGGACATTGTTATTAGTTGGCAAATTCATGCATTATTGTAGTAAATGTTATTATGTTTCCGGCAGATAATACACGTGTTGGGAATTTGATTGATGTGGTAGCATTAGAAAATAAAGCAAAAATATTTATTACCTGTCAGTTCTAGTCAGTTCTTGTTCTGTTCTAGTTCATTCTAGTTCAGTTCTAGTTCAGTTCTAGTTCAGTTCTAGTTCAGTTCTAGGTTCAGTTCTAGTTCTGTTCTGTTTCTAGTTCTGTTCTAGTTCTGTTCTAGTTCTGTTCTAGTTCTGTTCGGTTCTGTTCTAGTTCTGTTCTAGTTCTGTTCTAGTTCTGTCTAGTTCTCTCTATGTTCTGTTCTAGTTCTGTCTAGTTCTGTCTAGTTCTGTTCTAGTTCTGTTCTGTTCTGTTCTAGTTCTGTTCTAGTTCTGTTCTAGTTCTGTTCTAGTTCTGTTCTAGTTCTGTTACTAGTTTCTGTTCTAGTTCTGTTCTAGTTCTGTTCTAGTTCTGTTCTAGTTCTGTTCTAGTTCTGTTCTAGTTCTGTTCTAGTTCTGTTCTAGTTCTGTTCTAGTTCTGTTCTAGTTCTGTTCTAGTTCTGTTCTAGTTCTGTTCTAGTTCTGTTCTAGTTCTGTTCTAGTTCTGTTCTAGTTCTGTTCTAGTTCTGTTCTAGTCTGTTCTGTTCTAGTTCTGTTCTAGTTCTTCTAGTTCTGTTCTAGTTCTGTTCTAGTTCTGTTCTAGTTCTGTTCTAGTTCTGTTCTAGTTCTGTTCTAGTTTCTTCGTTCTAGTTCATGTTCTAGTCAGTTCTGTTCTAGTTCAGTTCTAGTTCAGTTCTAGTTCAGTTCTAGTTCAGTTCTAGTTCAGTTCTAGTTCAGTTTCTAGTTCAGTTCTAGTTCAGGTTCTAGTTCAGTTCCTAGTTCAGTTCTAGTTCAGTTCTCAGTTCAGTTCTATTTCAGTTCTAGTTCAGTTCTAGTTCAGTTCTAGTTCAGTTCTAGTTCAGTTCTAGTTCAGTTCTAGTTCAGTTCTAGTTCAGTTCTAGTTCAGTTCTAGTTCAGTTCTAGTTCAGTTCTAGTTCAGTTCTAGTTTCAGTTCTAGTTCAGTTCTAGTTCCAGTTCTAGTTCAGTTCTAGTTCAGTTCTAGTTCAGTTCTAGTTCAGTTCTAGTTCAGTTCTAGTCATTCTAGTTCAGTCTAGTTCAGTTCTAGTTCAGTTCTAGTTCAGTTCTAGTTCAGTTCTAGTTCAGTTCTAGTTCTGTTCTAGTTCTATTCTAGTTCTGTTCTAGTTCTGTTCTAGTTCTGTTCTGTTCTGTTCTAGTTCTGTTCTAGTTCGTTCTAGTTCTGTTCTAGTTCTGTTTCTAGTTCTGTTCTAGTTCTGTTCTAGTTCTAGTTCTAGTTCTGTTCTAGTTCTGTTCTAGTTCTAGTTCTAGTTCTGTTCTAGTTCTGTTCTAGTTCTGTTCTAGTTCTGTTCTAGTTCTGTTCTAGTTCTAGTTCTGTTCTAGTTCTGTTTCTAGTTCTGTTCTAGTTCTGTTCAAGTTCTGTTCAAGTTCTGTTCTAGTTCTGTTCTAGTTTAGGTCTAGTTCTGTTCTAGTTCTGTTCTAGTTTAGTTCTAGTTCTGTTCAGTTCTGTTTCTAGTTAGTTCTAGTTCTGTTCTAGTTCTGTTCTAGTTCTGTTCTAGTTCTGTTACTAGTTCTGTTCTAGTTCTGTCTAGTTCTGTTCTAGTTCTGTTCTAGTTCTGTTCTAGTTCTGTTCTAGTTCTGTTCTAGTTCTGTTCTAGTTCTGTTCTAGTTCTGTTCTAGTTCTGTTCTAGTTCTGTTCTAGTTCTGTTCTAGTTCTGTTCTAGTTCTGTTCTAGTTCTGTTCTAGTTCTGTTAGTTCTAGTTCTGTTCCTGTTCTAGTTCTGTTCTAGTTCTGTTCTAGTTCTGTTCTAGTTCTGTTCTAGTTTTCTGTTCTAGTTCTGTTTCTAGTTCTGTTCTAGTTCTGTTCTAGTTCTGTTCTAGTTCTGTTCTAGTTCTGTTCTAGTTCTGTTCTAGTTCTGTTCTGTTCTAGTTCTGTTCTAGTTCTGTCTATTTCTGTTCTAGTTCTGTTCTACTTATGTTCTAGTTATGTTCTAGTTCTGTTCTAGTTCTGTTCTAGTTCTGTTCTAGTTCTGTTCTAGTTCTGTTCTAGTTCTGTTCTAGTTCTGTTCTAGTCCTGTTCTAGTTCTATTCTAGTTTAGTTCTAGTTCTGTTTTACTTCAAATATTGTGTAGTTCAGTTTTATCTAAGATTCAGTTCAGTAATCCATCATTTTATGCTTATCAAACTGACCATTAAATATTTGCTTAACCACATATTGTGCAACTATACCTCACTCTTCACTTTTTATTTATTTGCTTTTTATATGTTTAACTTTATATTTATCGTTTCTATGGCTCATTTGTTTATTCCTCACATACGAATGAACATAACTAAATATTTACCAAAAGAAAAAAATATTGTTTCTTTTATTTGGATTGTTTAGTTGATTGTTTACACATATACCCAAGAGGTCAAAATATAAATTAATAATTTTAAGACAAATTTCAAGTACTAATAAACATAAAATTCTTTAAAAAAGTTTATAATTTATTTACAATCACTTTTTTTATTCTCAAATTTTCAGTTTAACTTTTCACACATAGAATGCTACCGAGTTTTCATAACTTAATGAGGTGCTCTTCGAGCGTTTTACAACAGTCTACATCTAGTAGTGGACCACCACAACCCTCAATCATGATGATCTCAATACGGCCACCTGTTCGGGACGCGGTGATTGTCTAAATGGCACTTGCCTCTGTGAAATACGTTATGCCGGCGATGAGTGTAGTGGTTTTAACTTACCCTACTATGCGGGCATTTCAAGTGTTTTCTATTTTGTTGCCCTGGTATCGGTTATACAATTGTTTATCTGTATAGTGGCCGAATATCAAAGACTCAAACAGCCGTCTGTGTTAAGGGCCTGTCGTATTACCACACAGAAAATGTTATATTTTATGGTATTGTGGCGGCCTCTTTGAGGGGAGCCTATTTTACCACACCGGTAAGTGTTTTCTTATTAAATTGCTTAAATTGTTTCTTTTGAAAACAATTTTATTTTGTTTGATTTCAGTTGGATTTACAACCACAATGGGCTGTTACCTTGATGTCCGCCTATTATCCTTTATTAATGACCTGCGCTTCATTGATTGTTTGCATGTGGGCTGAGGTAAGTTCCATGAATATTGAGTTATATAACTATTTTATTTGGACTTTAATTTAATTTAAAATTTAATTATTTATTCAATTATTATTTATTTAATGTTATCATTTTTATATGCATGTATTTGTTGTGGTTTTTGGGTAAACAGAAAAACCTTATTTTTATCGAATATATAATTGATGGCGTTTTCTGGAAAATATAAACTCATTACTCAAATATGTATAAGTTTGAGGGAATCATAATAAGTTTTAGCTTTAACTTTACAAATCCTTTAAGAGCAGAGAATTTACAAATTGTATTTTACATAAAGTAAACTATTAATTGAAGTCATTTTAATAAAAATCTCTCATATTTTTCCGCAACTCAATGTTCACTTGATATTTGCTACGCATTAACCTTTATGATATTTCTTGATTGGTATGATAGATTTCTATGTTTTCCAGAATTCAGTTTTAGTTCAGTTCTAGTTTGGTTTAGTTCCATTTCATTTCTAGTTCAGTTCTAGTTCAGTTCTAGTTCTGTTCTAGTTCAGTTCTAGTTCAGTTCTAGTTCAGTTCTAGTTCAGTTCTAGTTCAGTTCTAGTTCAGTTCTAGTTCAGTTCTAGTTCAGTTCTAGTTCAGTTCTAGTTCAGTTCTAGTTCAGTTCTAGTTCAGTTTCTAGTTCTGTTCTAGTTCAGTTCTAGTTCAGTTCTAGTTCAGTTCTAGTTCAGTTCTAGTTCAGTTCTAGTTCAGTTCTAGTTCAGTTCTAGTTCAGTTCTAGTTCTAGTTCAGTTCTAGTTCAGTTTCTAGTTCAGTTCTAGTTCAGTTCTAGTTCAGTTCTAGTTCAGTTCTAGTTCAGTTCTAGTTCAGTTCTAGTTCAGTTCTAGTTCAGTTCTAGTTCAGTTCTAGTTCAGTTCTAGTTCAGTTCTAGTTCAGTTCTAGTTCAGTTCTAGTTCAGTTCTAGTTCAGTTCTAGTTCAGTTCTAGTTCAGTTCTAGTTCAGTTCTAGTTCAGTTCTAGTTCAGTTCTAGTTCAGTTCTAGTTCAGTTCTAGTTCAGTTCTAGTTCAGTTCTAGTTCAGTTCTAGTTCAGTTCTAGTTCTGTTCTAGTTCAGTTCTAGTTCAGTTGTAGTTCAGTTCTAGTTCAGTTCTAGTTCAGTTCTAGTTCAGTTCTAGTTCAGTTCTAGTTCAGTTCTAGTTCAGTTCTAGTTCAGTTCTAGTTCAGTTCTAGTTCAGTTCTAGTTCAGTTCTAGTTCAGTTTTAGTTCAGTTCTAGTTCAGTTCTAGTTCAGTTCTAGTTCAGTTCTAGTTCAGTTCTAGTTCAGTTCTAGTTCAGTTCTAGTTCAGTTCTAGTTCAGTTCTAGTTCAGTTCTAGTTCAGTTCTAGTTCAGTTCTAGTTCAGTTCTAGTTCAGTTCTAGTTCAGTTCTAGTTCAGTTCTAGTTCAGTTCTAGTTCAGTTCTAGTTCAGTTCTAGTTCAGTTCTAGTTAGTTCTAGTTCAGTTCTAGTTCAGTTCTAGTTCAGTTCTAGTTCAGTTCTAGTTCAGTTCTAGTTCAGTTCTAGTTCAGTTCTAGTTCAGTCTAGTTCAGTTCTAGTTCAGTTCTAGTTCAGTTCTAGTTCAGTTTCTAGTTCAGTTCTAGTTCAGTTCTAGTTCAGTTCTAGTTCAGTTCTAGTCAGTTCTAGTTCAGTTCTAGTTCAGTTCTAGTTCAGTTCTAGTCAGTTCTAGTTCAGTTCTAGTTCAGTTCTAGTTCAGTTCTAGTTCAGTTCTAGTTCAGTTCTAGTTCAGTTCTAGTTCAGTTCTAGTTCAGTTCTAGTTCAGTTCTAGTTCAGTTCTAGTTCAGTTCTAGTTCAGTTCTAGTTCAGTTCTAGTTCAGTTCTAGTTCAGTTCTAGTTCAGTTCTAGTTCAGTTCTAGTTCAGTTCTAGTTCAGTTCTAGTTCAGTTCTAGTTCAGTTCTAGTTCAGTTCTAGTTCAGTTCTAGTTCAGTTCTAGTTCAGTTCTAGTTCAGTTCTAGTTCAGTTTCTAGTTCAGTTCTAGTTCAGTTCTAGTTCAGTTCTAGTTCAGTTCTAGTCAGTTCAGTTCTAGTTCAGTTCTAGTTCAGTTCTAGTTCAGTTCTAGTTCAGTTCTAGTTCAGTTCTAGTTCAGTTAGTTCAGTTCTAGTTCAGTTCTAGTTCAGTTCTAGTTCAGTTCTAGTTCAGTTCTAGTTCAGTTCTAGTTCAGTTCTAGTTCAGTTCTAGTTCAGTTCTAGTTCAGTTCTAGTTCAGTTCTAGTTCAGTTCTAGTCAGTTCTAGTTCAGTTCTAGTTCAGTTCTAGTTCAGTTCTAGTTCAGTTCTAGTTCAGTTCTAGTTCAGTTTCTAGTTCAGTTCTAGTTCAGTTCTTCTAGTTCAGTTCTAG